ACTCGCACAAGGGAACTATACCTCATGTTAAATAACGTCAGAAAAGTGGAAGCTTATAGAAAAGATAGCGCATGGAAAGTGCGAGGTCCATGTTCCATAAAGACACTCACTCGGATAACGCACCAGTGCGAAAGAATAGTCGAGCGAGTACAGGGGGAATAATCTGCGTGGAAATACTAGACGCTGCGGATACGCCTAGTTCACGTTCACGCATCTCGTATAAATCTGCATTGAGCCCTTTCACCGCGACAGGTGTCTACGCATACAGTAACAAAGGTGGATACGCGCGTACGCAGAAGAGTGCAACGAGTAGGCTTTCACGCAAAGCGACGTATAGCGTGATGTCGTCGTCGTGCAACATGAAAACACCAAGTATAGGAATGCGACGGGTGGCTTTTAGCCTGCGCAATCGATTGCCTTTGAATCAAGGTATAATTAAGTGTTATATTCTGCAGATCGATTAACATATTAAAAGATTGCGAAAGAGAGTAGGTAAACGCATTTTAGTTAACACTGAAAAAATAAAGATAAAATGTAAAAAATGCAAAGAATTATTCAAAAAAATATCTAAATGCCTAATAAATATGATACAATATCTTAAGATACATTGAGATCCCGTGTCTACTATAAAGTTCTCTCTCTCCTCTTCTCTTTTTTTTTAACCCGAAAATTACACAAAAAATTCAGAAATAATCAATTTTACATTTATATTTGCATCCAATAAACAGAATAGCAAAACTGCATATATTACACAATAATTTATTAACTTCAGCTTACATATATGCCAAGGAAGTGGACAAAAACTAGATATATTGAGTATTAAAACATAAAATATTATGTGCTGAATTTTTTTTCCCTAAACTCTTTAGATATTGAATTCTTCCGTAGATTATAGCGCCCGACCGTAGAGGAAAAGCTCATTCATGCATAAGTAATCGGTAGTTTCGAACGGCTTAGCAACTTCTGGATCTCTTTCGCTTTATCGTCACGAAGCGAGCGCTGCGTGCGGCACCAGTTATCCTTGAGTTCGATCCCCTCGATTCGATTGGGCCGCGAGTGTGCGTGACCGCGGGCGTGCACGCATGCGAGTATGGATTCGTGCGTGCGATTAGATTTATATGTGTGTTGACTGTGCGTAAAACACGATTCGAATGTAATCACGATATACCATATTATACTGGCCGGTTAGTCGACTAGCCAGAAATCTCCGTAATTTGCGTGTTACTGTCCTCTTCCTTGAAATAAATGAGCTTCAAGCACTAGCTTTATAGGCTTGTTCGTTTTAGCTAAACTTCTTGCACGGTTCGTCTTTCCTCTTTTTCTTTTCACGTTGGAGAGAAAAAGAGAATAGATGAACTGTGCAAGAAGTTCAGCTAAAACAAACGGGCCGCCTTACATCTCTTCAAATCTTCAATTTTCTAAACGTATTATTGCGTATTTTTGTAATTAAACTGTCAGATAACTTCGTGTAGTTTATAGCTCGTACACTGCCAAATCCAAGTGTTATTTTAGCCGAAGCTCTTCTTACACGTTCCTTGCCGTTTTAAATCACGTCATTTAACATGATTGAACGTATTAACTTTTAATTTAATTTAATTTAATTTAATACGATTAAATAACGTGTTAAATGATAATTTAATACATAAAGAAACACGTAAAAAGTGCTTCTGTCTAATGTGTCATTTTTAGACGGTCATGCGTGTAAAAATAACATACTTGGATTTGCAGTGCAGATGACACTGCATTAATTTTGCAGACTATAAAAAAGCTTATTACAGCATCTTTAATCCAGAACTGTTATTATCTTAACATTTACTATCATTTTTTATCATTTTCAAATTCTTTTACTTTTCAAAGTTCGTTTTACAAGTTTTATTATGCGTATAATAAAAAAATTAATAATATCCGTACGTATGTATGTACATAATTATTGTGTTTGCACAGACTTCGTCACAGTATTTTTTCTACCGCTGCTATTATAAGCCACGATGGCATTACTCATTACGGTTCCAAGATATCGATTTATCCACGGACATTGAGTCTTTTTTATATACTTGTACATCAAAATATTGAATAAGTATAGAAAAACGGAAGTAGAAAACGAGTCGTTCGACATCGCGATATTAAATCAAATATCGCAGGTCTACTTGGCAGAAACGAAATTTTCGCAGTCTCGACATAATCTAATAATCCGCTAATTAAAACGCGTAACGAACATCATGTAATTATAACGCACGATAAATTCGCAGGAGCGCAACATCCAGCCATTTCCTATGACCGCTTATACCCAAGCTTTAAATTATTCCACTTGCCTCCTAGGGATTAAGTATCAACGAAACAGCAAGGCAAAAGACTTTTTCATCAAACGAAATGAACGTCTCGTCAAGTTCACCTCGAAAATCTAGCGCTTGTTTGTTCATTCTACGACCGCCTGCTTTTATAAAATAAATCCACGGTGCTTTTCACCCATAAGAAATTTTTACCGGCTTTCTTTTGTGCACACTGTACGAGAATTTTTTCGCTTTACGCGTTGTATCATATCTCAAAGCTGTTGTGTCAAAGCAAAAAATTTAATATTGCCTCTTCAACTTTATAAAACGCATGTATTTTCACAAATAAAACATTAGTTTTGCATCTTAAAAACAGGGTATAATTTTTATAAACTCCTTTGACCGGTTTTAATATAATTATCATAAAATTAATTAATAAGCATTTTACAACTTTCATTATACGTGTAATGAAGCAAAATATTTGTATTTATTATGTCTATTAAATCTATTAAGTCTATTACAATTAATAATGTTTCCAAGATAGTTATTATATTAATGCATTTAAAAATTAAAAAAACACATATAGGTATGCTTATAAATTATATGTGTTTTAAGAAAAAAGAAAAAAGAGGGACAAATTACATATTTATTTATATATTAATTAAATATGTTTTTCTACAATAAAATAATAACGACAAGGAAAGTTATAGTAATAATAAAAGATGAAAATCGGGATGAAGAGACTGCATACGATGAATATATGAGTCCAAAAAGAGTTAATTAAAATTTTTTGCTTTTTATTATTAAACTTATGTCAAAAGATACTTATTAAATCCTACTAAATATGCTTCTAAAATTTTATTTCATGAAAAGGCGTGGTGGTTATTGGCGTGGCGTAATGTTTGTAACAAATTATTTCGAGGCTTGTGAAAATTAATTTCCAGTGTTCATAATATTCAGCACGATGCAGACGCATCTTTTCAACTATAAATTGAATGTCGGTTACGGTATCCAATGGGTGAAACGCCGGCCCGGACACGTGCTTGCGAGCAAAGGTCATTGAAACGCGAGCGCCGGCCGCACCTCGTTGTATCGTCATTTTCGCTGTTGGAAATCGTCACGCATGAAGTGCGTCATTCCATCTACGAAATGGGGATTCACAAATGCAGTACGGGCTTACATAATTCGCATGGCGCGCATTGATGGTCTCAACGCGATGAGTATCAAGGATTCACGTCGCGCAAGGATATTTCTAAGCGCTTGGGAATATTCGCGATTGTCACGGAAATTAAATTCTCACGAACCGTCCGTAACGTTCGTGATGACACCGAAAGTCCAGCGCAATGCAAATAATATATTAGTCATACTGTGACCAACGTGATTTACGTCATTCGTCCACGTTATAATGAAGTTCCTCGTCACAGAAATACCTGAGGTGCACGGTCAGCGATTTTAGGAACGAGAGAACTGCACATATCGATTTTATTCTACCTTCGTTCATCTACATAAATTTTTAACGATCGTTATAATAGTTCTACACCTACGGAACAAGTTATATCTGTAGTACTTACAATTAATTTCCTTAAAAAAAAATTATTCCCATTTAGAAAATTAATTTACAAAAAAATAATGTAATTTTACTTTTTACTATTATGTAAGATAAAGAAATATTTTAAATTTATCTGTTCATTTTTTTGTAGAGATATTTTCATCTCCGGTAAACAAAGTTTTTCATGATGAAGAAGTATCAAAGTTCTATTAGATTATAACATAATTCTTCATCGCAGTATTGACAGAACATGGAAGATAAATTACAGTAACTTATTTGTTCGTATACATTTTTAGATATTAAAAATGTCTATTATATTTTTTTTTCTTTAAATTCTAGAAAAAAATGTTAGTCACAACAGAATAAAAGCACACACAATAATAGAATCCGGAGTTCAGAACGAAGGAGAATAAAGTATTTTTAATATCTAGAAATATGCGAACAAATACAAGTCACTATACATATATGTATACGTAGAAAATTGAAAGGCAAAATGAAAAATAAGGATGCATGAGGGGTGTAACCGAGGGTGAAAAATGGAAGTCGTAAGAAGGGTAAACCGTCATTTCCGAAGGCTGCAAATCTCGGATTTTATGAAGCGTGGAATAAACCGTCCCTTCGTGCGCTCGTTCGTTTAAGAGGAAAAACGTTGATGGTCACGCCATGACATGCAATTTAAGATTTATCCTAGCATTCATGAATTCGTGTTATTATAATGATAACAACGTTGATTATAACTGAGCAAAAATTTTAGCACTTTCATAGTAAAAAGATCTGATTAAAAATTATTTTTACAAGTTTCAGGCCTTTTGCGATTCAATTTTTTAAATAAAGCGAAATGTGTGTAAATTAAAAATGTGTTAATATACATATTAAAACGCAGTCTGCTTGAATCAAATTAAAGATCAAGATTTGTTTTAAATAATTCCATATTTATAAGTTTCTAGAAAATAAATGCTGACGCTAAAAGGAATGCTGTCAATGGACACCACTACTGATATATCTACTACTGAAGCTAAACACCCAGAACAATAACCGTATGGTTACAGCTGTCACGCGCGTGTACGCGCAAGTGACAGTTTCGCCTCGTATCGCCAGATACCAGTGGCATATAGCACGCGCAAGTAATCGTGTAAAAATAAAACGTTACATCTGACGTAAAAACAACACCACCGACGTACCGAGAGGCGAAGACCATTTCCAGCATGGCTGGTAGCCCTCTCGAGCGGCTGGTGGGCGGACGGGTGGTTTCCCATTTCTCTCGGAGGAGACGGCGATGTTTTCAGGACGAGCAGTACCAGCTCGCGTCAAGTATCCAAATACAACGAATCGTTGGCGATCCTTTGATGCACCATGCGCGATCGTCACCAACGTCCAATGACATGCACGCTCAGGCGACACAGGTGTAAACTTTACGTCGCGCACTTATCTCTTGTACAGGATGAAAGGGAGTAATCGATGAGGTTTCTTTTCAAACATACGCAAACACCTTGTTGAAATTGGAATAGATCCACTGGAAGCACTATGCGATTCGGTTTCGTTGAGTTTCAACTCCGCAACGGTTGATCTTTCGGTATTTTTTTCTACTTTATCACGATGTAGAGCTTGAATTCCTAAATTATTCTCGAATCCTTTTGAACGACACTCTGTAGATCACTTCCCACCGAGAGTGACATCAAGGGTACCGGCGGAGCCACTCATTGTCAGCCGAGCACCATCCTATCACGAAATCGAGATTGGCCCGATCTTACGCGACATCCGTTCACACACTTGATATATCACAACCGTTCGTGCATTATAGGTACGCCTCCCAGTCGTCGCGAGCAGCTCCGAAACGCTCCGCGCTGGAGCCAGCACTCCGCTCGCGCGTAGATCGTACCCGACCAGAGTAATTTTAGTCCGGCACAACGGCCACTGAATGGATGCCGCAGAGAGAAAGAGAGAGAGAGAGAGAGAGAAAGAATAAAAGGTAGGAGCGAACGCTACTACTGGTGATGGATGTCGCGATGCATGGAAGACATGGCGACGCGAGATGCTCCCGAGAGCCGGCCGGTAAAAACCAGATAGACGTGAGAGAGGAGGCTATTGCCTTCTTCTCTTTCTCCTACTCTTCCTCCGCTTCCTCTTTTTCGTCGTCTCTTTTTACCAGCGAGCGTCCCGAACTGGTCATACGACTTGTGCTCCAGGCTGACGTCAGAGATTCCACCTAGAAGAGTGGGATTCCGATCGGTCTCTCTCTCCGTTTCTGGTCTCGCCGCTAAGTCTTGCCTCTCTCCGAGTCACCTCTCTCTCTCTCTCTCTTTCTCTCTCTCCCTTCGGCTGGTCGCCGCAGACGTCGGCGAACACCTCGCGGATAACAGTGAAGAACCCCGCGTATTCCGCTGCACACTCGCCAGAGCTGCACAATGCAGTCGGCTCCGTCTTACGTGACGATGTCTTACGCTCTCTTTCTGTTATTTTTAAACGATGACTGCCCGCGTCCTCAATACGTCTGTCGTTACAAAGAGCATCGTAAATTCCAATCGTATTTTTCTCGCTCCCTAGCCGGTCTTGCCTCTCATCCTTTTTGGAACCGTAATCGTTTGTCTCTTCACGAGATACGACGACAACTCTCCGGAATATTTTCAACGAAAGTTTCACGAATCTCGTTACCAAATTACACAACTGTCTAAATGTCGGACGGACATGGACATACACTAGAGACTAGAACTAGCTCCATTCAACTTTCGAATGTGGTATTTTTTACGTTTTACGGTGGATGTGGACCTTAATTTTTCCTCGGAACACTCCACCCCGAGGATATTACGTGCGATCAATTAAACTAACTTTACGCGCGCTGCTTTAATGCACCAATTAATCACGGCCGAAAAAGACTTCGGTACACATTTTATAAACGTGGGTTCTCCTCCTGTGAATTTCCGTAATTTAGCCGACGCGATATTTTTCCCACAGATGAGTAGGAAATTAGCCGTTAAATGCAGTGCTTCCGTCGAGGCAATTAGACACCCGAGAAGCACACAAACAAGTTGATCTCCGCCCGTTATTGTCTTTTTTATCTTTCTCGTACGTTTTTTTTCTCTCTCTTACGTACTCTTCTTTATTTATCGCTAATGCGAGAGACTCACACACGATATCGGCTTGGAGAACAGAGATTTTCCCCGGGATAGAAAAAACATTTGTCGCAAAGTGTATAATGCGATTATCCTTGAGGTCGTTTAGCGTGCGTTAACTAATGGAGCAGCGGCGAAGTGCGGTTACGCTACGCAAGTTCCCACGTTTTTCCGTTAGCACCGTCGCCGTCACGCTCAGCTACTTCCGGCGACCCCACCGGAACTCAAAAGTACGTTTGATCTCTCGCGTGGAGAATCCAGTCGATGAACCCAGGAGCTTGACGCTCTCGTCCATCTTCGGGAAAATCATCCGTCACGTATTTCCACTCGAGGAGCAAAATTTACGCAATCAAGCGGATAGAGAGACGCACGATCGCACAGCACGATGAAGTCTTTTTTTTTCAGCTCACATCGACGAAGAAACGGTTAAAAGATCGGCGAAAATATTCACGTTTAAAAAAACCGTGTCAATGATTGGGATAAAAAAAAAAAAGAATTTGTCAGGTAATCCAACGGGCGATGACGATGCCACGGCTTTCGAACGTAGGCTCAACGTTTTCACGATCTAGACGCGCCATCTGGAGTCACAGACAACACAGGTAGATGATTCAACGATACAACAATTTCATGGAGGACGCGAAGCGTGCGTGAGACGAACACTTATCAATAGAATTTAAACTTGGGTAGGGTATACCGTCGCGCCGTTTCACTTTTACCGCAGAAAACGACGCGACGCAACATTGCGGACTTTCACCGAACGGTATCGACGAGAAGAGTTCGTTTGAAGGTACACTCTCGGGCACAAACGAGCCTGACCAGCGGATATACGACAACCCCCCCTGAGAGACTCTAGACGCGAATGCCGAGGGTCCAACAGACCCAGGTCGGTTTATCCCACTCTACCGTTTATCAGGGACCGATATAGATCCGTCAGGCCCGTCCTTTAAAGACATATTGTTGCTTCTCTCCTTTATATTTGCTGGACAAAATGCTCTTGCATATGATGTAACGATATATTTATATTTTATTTCTTGTTTATATTTATATAATCAATTTATATAAAAGTTTGAGCTTCTATTTCAAATTTTTCTTCGCGAACGTTTTATATTCTTTTAAAATATTTTATCTATAAATATATATTTTTCCAAATAATAAAATTTTTTAATTTTTAAATAGTAAATTTAATTTTTGTAAAAATAATATATGTATGTACGTACAATATATATAATTATATAATGTATTATAATATATTTTATATAATATAGTATATGTATATTATATAAAATATAAATATAGTATATGTATATTATATAAAATATATATATATTGTATGTATAGATGTTTTTTATTTTTTAAACAATATAACAAAAAATTAATAAAAATTTCAATTAAATTTCGCAATTAAAATAAATTAAATTGAAAACTATATAACATTCTTTTGTTAAATAAATGTTCTCTTCGCATGCGCACAATATGTAGAAGTATACGTATACGGGTGATATATTTTATATATAAAATTTCAGGAACGTACGTAGGAGAAGAGAGCCCCCTTGCTCAAAACCAGCCGAGTAAAAATCAATCCCTCCTCTCTCCTCTAACGTGAATGCCTTGGCCCCGAGTCGGACCCAAGTTGCTTCCTTCTCCCTACCTCGCGAGTAGTCTCAGGGATATAGTTAGATTCTACAGTACCCCGATCGCCGGCTTCCGCTCGAAGTTAAATCGACGAGGCAAAACCGGTTTTTCACGTGATTACATCTTCCGAGAGAATGACTCGGGCTCGATTCCTGAGCTGGATCGGAGAAATTTACATCGGCGCTGGCAATCCGGAGATCGCCGTTGCGATCTCTTGCAGTTCGACATTAGGTTGATATAGAGAAGATGATGGAGAATTCAGGTCAACTCAAAACGAAAAGCTGGGGTGGATATCCGAAGTTTACGGCGGTGAGAGAAGCAGCTGCCGAGGCAAATACTCGTACATCTGCTGAGACCGAGAGAAGTTTACCGCGGAGGCCAATGCGTCTCTTCGCACAGAGAGCTCACTCTCTAGCTCTCTCTCGTCGAGCAGAATCTGTTTTTCTTCAGAATATAGGAAATCGATGAAAAATATTGAAAACTTATGACATTTCCTGCTGCTAGGAACTTCGTCGAAGCGATCGACTAATTTTTGATACCTAAGTATTTTTTGTAATGTAAGTTTTAATTAGAAAAGTAGAACAATTCTCGAAATAAAAAAACGCGATAGCAACTTATAGGGATTCAAACTCAACGAGATCGAGTTTGCATATTTCAATGACAGATAACGGAAGACGTAAAAGCAACTTTTTACATGATGACCTGACTTAAACGAGTAATTTAATTAATTAACTAATGACATTTAAAAAAGTAAAAAAGCTATACTAATTTAGTCAGGATTATCTAACGCTGCTCCATGTAATTCAAAACTGGCGTATTTAAAACACGAGACTGCATTCTTATTACGCAGCTCTGCTTACATAATTGGAACTTTCAATCAAATTGCACACGGCATTAATCTTAATCTTTAATTAAACAAGGTAGATCTCGCATCTAACGGAGCTAAAAGTTCTCAATGGACGTGTGCGCCCTTCAAGCAGCTGCGATACGTGGATTTACTTTCCACGTTTAAGGGCGCGCGACGAAAATGACGAAAGAAATCCAACATCTGCCTTTGCTCTCCTACGTCCTCTCGTGCTTCCGTACCTACTCGGATTCGAAAGCTAAACACGATATTAAATACAGGAAATTTGTTCTCAAGAGATTTTCTATATTTATAATAAGCATAAAAAAATCTGAACTTTGAATTAGAAGGAATTCAAGGAGTTTTAAAGAAACGGCTATTATAATTAACAAATAAAAAATAAAAAACATTGGTGTTTATAATTTTATTACAACATATAATAAACACAAAAAAACATGGGAAACAGAAAAAAAACATAAAATAAAGTACAGCATTTTGTCCTATTTTTATATTTTCTTTGCAATTTAACAAAGAGCTTGCTCTTAATAATACAAAAATATAAAGAGCTAGTTAATTAACTTGAAGTTATCTCTACTTCTTGTATTATATAAGAAATCTTTTCATATACTAAGAAAACAAACGCGTTTTCCTTCTTCAAGAATCATAAAATATAAATGTGAGGCTTTTTTTTCCACCGCGGTAACAAAAATAACTTCGACCGGTAAAATTAAATGTCCCGTCCTTCTTATTTACTTCGTCGTACTTGACACTGTATTACACGTATATTGCAGAGCGAATGATATCATTATTTTAGCACACGTTGATCGTGGCCTTGTCCCTTATTTCTGCGTGCAGTAGAAATCTCCGCGGTCCGGTCGCTTCGAAAAAGGTCGTAAGCCGTAATCGCACGTCGCCCCAGCTGCGACTATTTCGGTCGAATTCTTTTTCACGTTATGCGCGCACAGCACACTCAGTTACGCACGTACAAGAGTATTTCACAATACACGTCGCAGCGGCGCACGCACACACGGAACACCGGGGCGTTGTGTGTGAGCACAGGTGTAAAGAGTAACGAACGGTAGGTGCACTTGTGTCTCGCGATCGGAGGGCGACTCTCAACATCTTCCATGAAACCTGCAACTACGACTACGGTGACATAGGCCATTGCTATTCCGGTAGCACCCTTTATGTTAGCGCCCTTTACTCGTCGTGCGAATCGCTGGACCTTTAATATTCAATTGGCATGTACCGTAAAATTTTAGGTAAACTGAAAAAAAATTGAATGCAGTTATGCAATGAGAAACCAAGCGCCATTTTCGCGATTTTTAGTTCTGTATTGATTTTTGTTTTATATTGTGAACAAAAGACTTTCTAAAAATGCATATAACACGTGGGATTGTATTTGAGGAGGATTATAGTTCGGTCATATTTGAGATAACGTCGGCGCAGAATTTTATTTTTAATATTTCGAAATTTACTTTAGCGAAAAAGTAAGCTTTTGGAGTTAGTTCCGCATTTGCAGAACTGCATCCAATTACAAAAACAATGATTAATATCGGTATTAAAGGATAAACGTCTGATTAATATAATATAGATTTATTCAATTTGAAATAAGTTATCCAAGAGTTTCATTAAAAAATTTATTTTTCAGTAACTATAATTGTAAACAGTATCCATAAATTAAAATATAAAGCGTACAATTTTGGAAATGAAATATATATAAATAGAAGATAAAATAAATACAAGTTTAAAAAATCAATTACACAATCTAAACAACTCTGAAAGCTTTTAAAATATTCAAAATAATATGATACTAATTTCTTTTCAAACTTGAAAAATATCAGTAATAATATTAGCTTTTTCAGTGATGAGTTTCTCTTTTACCAACATCGAACGATAAATTCGGTGAAAATATGTTCTTCCAATGGAGAGAACTTCCGAGAATATAAACTTTTTAATATTTTCAAGCTGGTGGAACTTTAAAATTTACATGTCGATACGTTTTCCCAACAAGTCTCCTCTTACTACATTTTCATAATAATAATAATATTTTAACGATATATATTTTAACGATATATATATATAAAGGCAAATTTTATGTGAATTTTAAGAAGCATAACGAAGATATTGTCAAACTAAATGTATTCACTTACAAATTATAGGTGACCATATACAAACGAGTTCAAAATACTCGTCCACAAGTTACGACATGTGATGTGGCATTTGATAATAACCGGTTTCGAGAATGTAGCATACTGCATACTATTGCAAAATCTGTTTACTACTGTATCAACAGACGAATAATTGCATTACTTTACATATGCAAAAGTACATTATGTCACTTCAACCGTCGCGTCGGTTCGCAACCAGATAGATTTATTACGATGAATACCTCGTTAGAAACATATAAATTTTCATAAACTACATTTGACAAAGCGGAAATAGTAAATTAATGATTTTCCCGCTGTTGAAAAATAAATCTTCGCAAATATTAAGTTTTATTTATTTTAATGTAAAATGAATTTTTGTTTATATAAAATACATGTCTTACTATATATATTATTACTGCACAGATAACATTTAAAATTCATAAAAATAAAATTAATATATTATTCTTTAATTGAAGTAATAAAAATATGAATGTTTAAATAAAGACTGCCATCTCTTTTTAATGCCTTCAAGATAATGATAGTTATTAAAATTTCTGGTATTGAAACTTTATCATTAAAATATCGATCAATTTCGTTACAGCTGTCAATGTTTATTATGACGGCCAGTATATCTACCGTTTGAACGTTTCTTCCGTTGCGGAAAGAGCATGAGATAATAGCGTCCTATATAGAATGTATGCGTCTTTCGAGTCTTTCTCGCACGTGCGTTCACGGTCGCGCCATATGGCTATGACAAAACCACATGCCGGTATATTCCCATGCATATCGAGCTAGCAGGTACCAACGGGTGCATGTGTTTTAGCGTACATCATCTCTCCGTGCAGAATTTGGAGCGTAATTATCGTACTTCGGTAATTAATGAAGGTGCAAGCTAACGTAGATTTCGTAAATACCTTTTCCGCATGCAATATTGCAAGGAGATTATTTAAAGCTTAGATGTTTCTATCACACAAAAGGCGGAGTTATAAAGTAGCAATATTAGACAAGACAATTAGAAGAAATCTCAAGACTTCTATCTTCCTCTTTGTAAATAGAAATATGGTTAACTGATCACGTTACATAATTATGTGAATATATTTTATGATTGAAATAAAGTTAATTTCATTCATAATAAGAATTTCTTAGCGCAAACATTATAGTAATGATTGTGTGAATTAGATATATAATATCGCAATTCCAAGCAATTTTTATTTTTCA